CCCCACCTACCGTAGTGCTCTTAAAGATCCAAATTGGCATGCTGCTATGGTCGATGAATTTAATGCTTTGATCAAGAATGATACATGGGAACTAGTACCCCCCTCCCCCCACCAAAACATTATAACCGGTAAATGGCTTTTTCGACATAAACTTGGCCCTACGGGTGAGTTATCCCGGTACAAAGCCCGATGGGTTGTTCGCGGTTTTAACCAGAGATTCGGCGTGGATTATGATGAGACGTTTAGTCCGGCAATAAAACCGGCCACGGTACGTATTTTGTTGAGTATAGCTCTTTCCCAGGGGTGGCCCATTCATCAGCTGGACGTCAAGAATGCATTTCTTCACGGGTACCTACAGGAGACTGTTTATGCCACTCAGCCCTCTGGCTTTCGGGATCCGGCCAGGCCTCACTATGTTTGCAAACTCAAGAAGGTACTATATGGTCTCAAACAGGCTCCCGGATCGTGGTACCATCGCTTTGCGGGCTTCATTCAGACTATTGGTTTCCGCAGCTGCAAAACAGACACGTCTCTCTTTGTTTTCACTCGTGGGACGGACACATCATATTTGCTCCTCTATGTAGATGCCATTGTTCTCACAGCATCATCTGCTCATCTTCTTCAGCATCTCACACAGTGCCTTAAGGGAGAGTTTGCCATGACCGATATGGGGGATCTACATTTCTTCTTGGGCATCAATGTACATCGCACTCCCCGTGGACTCTTTCTTCATCAGACGCAGTTTACTCATGACATTCCTGAGCGTGCTAGAATAGTCACCTACCGCCCTATCTCTACCCCTGTTGATACTAAGTCGAAACTCTCCACCACCGATGGGCCAGCTGCATCCGATCCCTCTCTTTGCCGCTCTATCGTTGGAGCCATACATTACCTTTCATTTACACGGCCAGATATTACCTATGCAGTTCAACAACTTTGCCTCCGTCTGCATGCTCCACGAGAGGCGCATCTGACAGCTATGAAGCGGGTTCTCCGCTATCTCCGTGGCACCGCTACATTGGGCATCTCACTCACTCCCTCTCGCACGGACATACTACAGGCCGACTCTGATGCAGATTGGGCCGGCTACCAAGACACCAGACGCTCTTTATCCGGTTACTGTGTTTTCCTCGGTGATAATCTCTTCTCCTGGTCCAACAAGCGGCAAGCCACCACCTCTCGATCCAGTGCCGAGGCTGAGTACCACGCCGTTGCCGAGGCCAGTTGGATTCGGAACCTTCTTATTGAGCTACGACATCCCTTGCCGCGTGCCACCCTTGTTTTTTAAACAATGGCTGTTGCTAAACCCACCTCTCATTTGGCTATATCCACCATTCCACCCCTTTTTATTTGAAATGGACAAGTTTACACTTAATGTTTAGAAAATGGAAAGAAAGAAGTGAAAGGTAAAGCTGTCAATTTACTATAAATGAAGTGGATTTAGCAAAACAAGGGGTGGATTTAGAACCACTCATAAACAATGCCACTAATTTTATTAATACGGGGTACTATATTATTAAAAAAAAGGTGGAACGCCCACCTCGGACACCCCACACCTCGGCCGGCCTGACAGAATTGTGAAGGAAGTAAATCATGGTATAATTTTAATATGGTCTTTAGAGTAGTCGCCCTGTGCCCAATGCGCACAATGAGCTATTACAAATAATAGAACTCCCACATTATTGCTGTCGGGATTCGACCCTAGGATCAACAGGCTTGACAACTTCTCTTTGGACCAGTTGAGCTACCATGCGGACGAGTACTGTATTATTAAGTTATAAAGATTGAATACAAATTAGTTCAATAATTGATGGATATATTAATAAAAGATCATTAAAGTTAATGATAATAAATAATTAAATCATTTTTAAATCATACTTTTACAAAAGATCATTATGTTTTACTCTTATTTTAGTATCTTCCTTTAATTTTTGATAGAGAATAAATAATGCCCTTTTTCTTTGAATTATTTTGGTAGGACATAAAAGAAATACATTACATAAATGTGACTCTTTTTGGAAGTTTTTTAAAAATATATATACTTCCTCCGTTCCAAAAACGCATTCTCTTTTCTTTTTTTTTCTTGCCCCACAAAGTCATTTCTCTTCCAATTAAAAAATCACATATACTGCTATTCATTCTTAATCTATCTATCACATCATATTTTTTTACTAATAATATACGGAGGAAGTATTAGAAAAGTATAATGGACCATGTATTAGAAAAAGTGAAAAATTTATTTTGAGATGGATAAAAATAAATGATACGAGTAAAACTTTTAGGATGAAAAAGAGTATATTTAATTAGTGGCTGGTTCCTATGACATTGGAGATCAATGTCATGAGATGATCCGGGGGTGCTCCGGTGCCCCGTTTGTAAAATTGACGGTTCCAACCCCTCCCCCCCTAACATCTCCGCCCGGTAAACCCTCCCACCCAGCCCCCACCCGAACACACCCCTCCACCCTCTCAAATTGCACCCCCAAGTTAATTTTGACACCCTCCCCACCCCGCTGCCACCCACCCA